CCATCTACATGGATCAGCCAGATGGGTACTGCACACCTGAGACAAAGGACAAAGTTTGCTTGCTGAAGAAAGCTTTGTATGGACTAAAACAAAGCCCCAGACAATGGTACAAACGATTTGATGAGTTCATGCTAAAGATCGGATTTGTCAGATGCAGCTACGACAGCTGCGTGTACATGAAGTGGCAAGACGGCGCAATAAGTACCTACTTGCTTCTTTATGTGGATGATATGTTAGTAGCCAGCAGAAGCAAGGAGGAAATCCAGAAAATCAAAGGTATGCTAAATTCTGAATTTGACATGAAGGACCTAGGACCTGCTGCAAAGATCCTAGGGATGGAGATTACTAGAGATAGGAAAAATGACACTTTATTCTTATCTCAAAAGTCATATATTCAGAAGGTTCTAGCAACGTTCAACATGCATGAGGCTAAGCAGGTTGCAACACCCATTGGCCAACACTTCAGATTGTCAAACTCTCAAGCACCGGAGACTGAAGAAGAGAAAAGGTACATGGAGGGTGTCCCTTATGCCAACGGGGTTGGTAGCATCATGTATGGGATGATCTGCAGCAGACCAGATTTGGCCTACGCCGTTAGCATTGTAAGCAGGTTCATGGCAAACCCAGGACAGGCTCACTGGGAAGCACTAAAATGGATCTTGAGGTACCTGAGAGGCACTACAGACCTGGGTCTACTCTTCAAAAGGCAGGAAGACAAAGAAGCAAAGGTAGTTGGTTATGTGGACTCAGATTATGCAGGAAGCATTGACACCAGGAAGTCACTGACCGGAGTCATTTTCACTGTTTTCGATACTGCAGTCAGTTGGAAGTCTAACCTCCAATCCGTTGTGGCCCTCTCGACAACAGAGGCCGAATACATCGCTGTGACTGAAGCAATCAAGGAAGCTATGTGGCTAAAGGGCATGACTTAAGAGCTTGGGATACATCAGAAGGTGATAACTGTGTTTTGCGACAACCAAAGCACCATTCACCTAACCAGAAATCAGGTATTTCATGAAAGATCCAAGCATATAGATATAAAGCTTCATTTTGTGAGGGATGTCGTTGCCAAGGGTTCAATAGTAGTGGAAAAGATACCTACTGAAGAAAATCCTGCTGATATGCTCACCAAGGTGCTACCGACAACTAAGTTCACACACTGTCTGGACTTATTAAACTTCACCAAGAGCTGAGGCCCTCTCAGGGGTCAGGTGGAGGGAATCTTTACTTCGAAGCTTCTCAATTGAGGGTCAAGGTGGAGAATTGTTATTTTGACCCCCAATTAATGAACTAAGGTAAAAGGGCAATTTTGTAATGTGGCACCGCCACCTACCACATCTCACCTACCGCTCACCTACCGGCCACCTACCACCCACCTACCTCCCACCTACCACTCTCTTGCTTCTATAAATAGAGAGGGTGTGAGGCCTAGGAGAGCAAGGGAGAAGATATCTTGAGCTACCACAAAGGAGGAGAGAATAGCTATAGAGTTAGAGAGGAGGAGAGCATCTTGAGGCCTTGTATCAAGGTGTCGCTTGAGAGGGAGACCATCGAAGGAAGATGAGGGCTCATCTTTATGTATAAGCTATGTATTCTCCATTTTTTTTGCCTTAGTGAAATATTTGATTGATTCCCTCCTGCAGACGTAGATCCAGTTGGATCGAACCACGTAAACGATCTGTGTTTGCTTGTGTTCTTTTTCGTCTCATTTCTATGTCAGGAAGTACATATCTCACAACAGCAATCATTATAGTTTCTATATGATTAAGAATAAAGATATCCAACGACTCAATATAAAAGATATATACAAAAATTATCCAAAAAATCTAGGAAAATGACATGTGCATATCACTACGAGAAAACCAACGCCCCAACATCTGAATGTGGGAGTTGGGTGCAAAGTTGGAAGTATAATCATACTAAAATATAAGAGATTACATCCCATATGATCCTTATTCATAAGTCACATTTAATTTTTATAGAGTTTATAATCGATAAATCAGTAGGTGCGATCAGATTTGTAAAATTATTTATTGAAATTATTTTTATGAAAAACTTAATAATCGTTTGAATATTTAGCTCGTTTATCAGCTCATTTAAAGACTCGTTCACTTGTCATAAACAAATCAAGTACAAATCAAGTTCAAACATTGAAATATTTAAATAAGTCAAGCTTAAACAATATATGAAAGCTCGACACAAGCTCAAGCCGAACATGAACAACTTATAATTATACCAAATCAGAACCATGATATACACGGCTCAACTTAGATCGATTACAACCTAAGTTAAAATGCTTGCACTCCTGATCTCATATAAAATTTTCATGTGGCATAAATAGAAAATTCAAAGTTTAGGTGTTGGACATGTAAATGCATAAGAATTGGGTGGTATGTATGTAAATACTCCTTGAAAAAATATATAAGAGAAAAATATTAAAAATTGAGTAATCAAGTTGGTTCATATACATTTTATTTATTTTATTTTATTAATTTTTTTTATTATAATAAAATTATCAATATATTGCATTATTATTTCTTAAGAGATCTAAATTAATTACGAAAAAAAATTAAAATAAATATTTTAATAAAAAATTACTTATATTTTCTTTAAATGAGGTGACTAAATTTTCTTAATCTTTTTATTTATTTATTTTCTTTACAAACTTCTGTAGTTTTGTAATGAATGGGGTTTTATAATTACATTACTAATTAAAATAATTATATCATTTATAAGTGTGCAAAATAGACATCAATAATAGAAATATTAAGAAATTAAATTTAATTAAAATTTTAGGCTTCGTCAAAGGAGCCTCACCGTTCAGTGAAGTTCCTTTAAAAGTCAAGTTGGCGGAACAGAGAAGAACAATCTTAAACGGCAAAAAACTGTCGTTCTTGGAAAAGAACATCAGAAGAAGTTCGGGAAACACTTACTCACCAAAACAAAAAATATTTCTAGGCGTTGGGGCACACTATAACGTAAAAAATGTCTTAACACACGTGGAAAAATATTGCATCAGGACTCCTACCGTAGAGCTACGTTCGGAGTCCGCTGATATGTGGACATGTGGAGGTGACAAAAAATTTTTTTAAAAAAAATCATTTTAGCACAGGAGAATATTCCTCTCGTTTTATTCTACATTATGATAGGTATAGCTCATATCTAGGGAGTTGAAGTTTCTTGTGAAGAGATGTGTCTCCTGGTGAAAAGGAGTATCTCTTGAAATAAAGGGGGTTGGGGAGAGCAAGAGCGTGATTGTAATTTTATTTGTAGGTTTGTATATGTCTATATATATGTGTAACCCTATGGGATGAAAATTATAACTTCTCTAAAATAGTGAAATCGCCGCTCGCTCCCGAGGACGTAGACAATTCGAACCTCGTTAAATCTCTCGTTAAATCTTTGTATTCTTCTTCTGGTTTGTGTCGATTCCTGTTTTAGTCCGCTTCAATTTTCATAACACATTATTCATGTATTGTGGTGATATTCATGTGTTATTGTGTTCTGGAAATATTTCTAGTGTTATAATAACACAATAGCACATGAATAACACGAAGTAATACAGGAGGAATATTCTCCTGTGTTATCGGGCCGGATCACATAAAAATACGCGCGTTTTCTTGAAACCACGTGTTTGTATATCAGTGGACTTCGTACATAACTCTACGTCAGGAGTTCTTCTAACACACACACACACACACACAGACGTACTAATTCTTGAACATAATGTTTAATAATTGAAGATACAACTTGTTACCATCAAGTCAAATTAAAGTTTTTGTTTTTTTTTCCCCTCATTGTTCCTTTTCCTTCGTTGTTTCAAGCTGGATGGCTTTGCTGGGTCTATTTTAATTTCATAGGGTATGATTCTCACTTACAAAACCAAAAGGTATTGCTTGTCAGAACATGAAAATTAATCATAAGACATAATTAATGAGCTTTTTATGGGTTTGGTGACTTCCGATCTCTGAAAGTGTCATCATTGCAATCAAATTCTCATAGGTTTTGTTTGATTAACATGTTTAGTATTTAATACAGAAACTAATTCCTTTATTTCCTGTCTGTTTTTGCATTATTTTTCATAGAATTGCTTGGCTAACTTTTCAGCACTTTATGGCTTGGGTTAAATAAAGTGTGGGCATGTTTGTCACATAGACTCTGCAATGTTTCATCTTTATTTATTTTATTTAGAATTCATTTTGGCAGATGGTCTCCATTCCTCTTTTTTATCCGCATTTATGAGACACAAGACACAAGGGATAAATGAATGGCCAAACCCTCCACTCACTCCACTCACTCCTAATGTGTCTAACAATTCAAGTATCACCTCCTTAAGACTAATTGGGTTAGAGAGCCCCCGACCTGAGGGGTCTTATATCGTGGATGTCAATCACAGGTCAGGGTACGTTTCACACACACACACACGCGCGCGCGCGCGCGCGCGCACACACACACACACACGCGCGCGCGCGCGCGCACACAGGGTACGTTTCACACACACACACACACACATATATATAGATAAAAAAACATTATATATTTTTTTTTAAGATGACAATAAGCTTTTAAAATTGTGAACTTCTGCACTAATAGAATTATCAGACCTAAATAATGATATTTTTACTAATAAGTATGACAATTTAATGATATTTACTCTCCTAAATAAATTATTTTTGTTAAATATTTTAAAAAATAATAATAATAATAACATTGAAAAGGAAAGGTGATTTAATTGTCTTGAAAAATGCTGCCAAAAAGCTTACTACTTTAAACACCAAAAATTATTTTTCTAACACTTTTGAGATTTATTAAAAAAACAAACTAATTTCTACTCTGCCAAGAAAAGCTTTTTTTCAATAGCTTTCATTACATCAACTTCAGCAACAACAACCAATCAAAATTATGAATATCCAAAAATTCCGAAAAAAATCATATATTTTGATTGTGTTCTAACAAAATATCTTTTGCGAACCTGTTAATGGCGTAAGCTCCATGCCTGTTTGACTGACAGTGCAAGCAAAGCAAACTCCCTGCAATTGTATTAATCACAGCCTTCAACTTATAACCCTGTTCACTCATCCTTCTGTCAAAAAAAAAAGTTATTTTTAGAAAGAAAAAGCTATTTTTTCTCCATTTTCTTCACTTTAAGCTCCTGCTTCCTCACTGGCTGTGCAGCTCTCCCTCTCTCCCACAAGCTTTGTTTTGAGCTTTCCTCACAAGGAACAGTAAAATATTGCTGAATATGGTGCACATTTTCTTAGAGAAAATACCCATTCTTCATCTCCTCCCTATTTTGAAGAAATGAGATCTTGTCTGAGAAGTCCAAGGTCTCTTCTTTACTTGAGCTTGGCTGAGGGGTGGAGGAGGGAGAGATTAGATTGTGTGTTTAATGTGGTTTCTCTCTCTCTTGTAATAGTGGAAACTGAAACAGGCATTTTAATTAAGCATCAAATGCCTTCTTAGGCACTGTTACTGCTGTTATTGGTTCTGGTTTTTTGCTTCATTGGTGAAAAAAGTTCATATCTTGTGACTTCAAACACCAATACAAGAAACTGTTTGAAGCATCTCTGGTTCAAGATTCAGGTACCTTGTTAGGTTTTTGAAAGCAAAGGTTGAAAGATAGGAGAAGAGAAGAGGAGTGCCCTAGACTTGGGGAGTCTAGGGACAAGATAAGGTTTTGTAGAATATGGTGAGGAGGTTCTAAGATTATTAGTTGTTTTTGTGATTAAAACAAAGGGGGGAAAATGAGCAAGTGGGTTGATAATATCTTATTTAGTCTCCCAAGATTTCTCTTTGTTTGTGGTCTTTAGTTCTCAGCTGTCTCACCCCTCATTCACTTTTGTTCTCTCTGGACCATAAAGGAAATAGTCATTGAGATTAAAAAAAAAGTGAAGTAAGAAAGAGCACAGAGATAGAGAAGGAGAAGATGGATATTTCTGGCCATGAAGGAGAGATGCCGATCCCAATAAGCAGCAGTTATGTTGGGGGAGGAGGTGGTCATGGCCAAAATCAAAGCCACACCTCTCATTTCATCCACCATGAAGCTCCTTCCCTTCATCAACTAAAGCTTCATCAATCCAATGGTCCTTCTCCCCCTCCTCCTCCTCCTCCACCTCATCAAGCTCCTACTCCCATCTCTGTGGCAGCTCCACTGAACAGCAAAAAAGGAGTTTTGGTGAAGTACAGAGAATGCCTGAAGAACCACGCAGCCTCCATTGGTGGAAATGCAACTGATGGCTGTGGAGAGTTCATGCCTTGTGGAGAAGAGGGAACTCTTGAGGCCCTCAAGTGCTCGGCCTGTAATTGCCACAGGAACTTTCACAGGAAAGAGATTGATGGAGAGTTATCTTCTTGCGACCTCTTCCACTACAAAGGAGGGAGGAAGATGATGAGCCAGAAGGGACTTCTAATCTCAGCAACAGACCCATTTGGGTTCAATTCAGGAGGGAACAACCTCATCCCAAGACCTTCTCACCAAATGATCATGCCATTTGGTGCCATACAGACATCAGAGTCTGATGAAATGGAGGGATTTGGAGGGGGAGTTATGACAAGGCCTCCAATGATGAAGAAGAGGTTCAGAACCAAGTTTACTTCAGAGCAGAAGGAGAAGATGTTGTGCTTCGCTGAGAAAATGGATTGGAGGTTGCAGAAGCAAGAGGAGAGTGTGATTCAGCAATTCTGTCAGGAGATTGGAGTCAAGAGGAGAGTTCTCAAGGTATGGATGCACAATAACAAGCACAACTTGGCAAAGAAGAACAGCAATCTGCATCTGGACTGAAGGACTACCATTACTCTTCCTACTGATCCTCGAATTTTTTTTTTTTTCCACTGGCATTTGGCATTAATGGGCATTTGGCATTAATGGTTGAGGACTTGGGCTAGATGGTTGGATACAGTGTTTATTTTCTGTTTAAGTTTTCAGATGTTTGCATTGGGAATTTTTTTTATTTTTGATTCACCTATTGTTCCCTTTGGCATGCTGATCCAAGTTTAGGGAGTTTGGTAGCTCTAAATATCTTTCCTTCTCTCTCTAGATCTCTACCCCCTAGTGCTACTTCAGTAGGGAGATGGAGATAGGGTTCTCATGGCTTCCATGCCTGCAGATAGTCCTTCAACTTATTCCCTAGAGCAATTAATTCTTCTGCTTTATTTTGCAAAGTAATTGTGTTTTTAATACACCATTAAACTTTCTACATAACCCTGAGTTTGGTTCTACTTGTTGATTTTCCAATGCATTCTCATTCATGGCTTTCATTTTGTCTGAACATGGAAATCTGTTTACTCCAAAAACATAAATTTAATGGCACCAGAAACAAAAAAAATAAAATTGCAGATAAAAATTACAGAAAGACTTTTAGAAACAATCAATTATATGATGCTTCCTTATTAATGTACTTCACCTATGCAACCACCTTAGATATAGCCCTATAAAGTGTGCTGCATTTGTCTTATTGTTTTGGTCAACTTTTTAAACACTGCTGTTACTGCTTAATATCATCATAAACTGCACTTTAATTTAAGTTTCAGACCATCCTATAATTTTTCATTCTATACTAAGCCATCAATTCTTTGATTTGTATAATCTGGAAGATTATAACGGCTAAGTTTTTAGTTGGGAAGAGCAGGTGGTGGTGTAGTAAAGGCAAAGCTTGCAGAGCAGCATGTTCTTCCACTTGATGGCAAATAGTATGCCATTACCACCAATGTGCCAACCAAAGTACATTTTTTTATGTATTTTATACGGAAGCAGACAAGTTTGGTCATTTGTTTATTTATTTTGTTCAGAGAATGGCGTGTATGAGTTTATGAGAACAGCGGATGTAATTATATTTGATATATCTTGCCTTTGTCTTCAAGTCATTCTGTTCTGAACATTGCTTGCTGTGTGATGGTTTTCTGATATGAATCTTGCTTGCTGGTGATGATTTTTTAAATCATTTTTTTTCTTTTTTTTTCAACTTTTTAAATACCTTCAAGATAACCCAACAATTTATGATACTATTTCATTATACTTAGTAGTATATAAAAATAAGTTAGCACGAATCTTGAGGTAATCTGATAAGTTAACGGTGGTGAGAATGTTGTGAATATTTATGCATGGTAAAGAGGTGAAAAGAGAATGTTAAGATGAATGTGAGATAAAATTAGCAGAGATTAGATTTAGATGACTCATGCATATACGACAATGATTTAAAAATGAATCAATGGTGGATAACATTAATTTGATAATCATTGCACTTGCATGTATTTTATCAACATGTTTTATTGTGCATTGATTGCATATGATGCTTCAAATAGATAAGTGTATTAATGCAAAACAAAACTTAATCATAATACTAGTCTTCTCCCAATACGTTTAGTATTGTGAGGCGGTGTTTGGCTACAGCCTGAATTTATGTTAAATAAGATTTATCCAATCTATTAAAGTCAATCATCAGTGCAATGGAGATGAACTCGCGAATTCTTATATCTGTCTTACAATCGGATTTATTAAATCCAAATTTACATCCTAAAAGAGACAAATGAGGGAATAAAAGAAGCTTATTTAGTGGTAGACAGAAAGAGGAGTTGGCTTCAGGTGCACTTATAAACTTTTGGGAGTGTTTAATAATTAATTAATCAAAACCTATGGCCTTGAAAATGTCATCATTAAGTCAGCCTTAGAAAAAGGCTCCGGGATTAGCAAAATAATAAGAGAACAGGTTCTGGATTATGAACCAATTAGCACTGACATTGTCTCCAAAATCTGCATTTTTCTTATGACAGTCCTTCAGTTGGTCCCCTCATTAATATTAAAGTATACTGCTCTGTTGGTCCAGCTGATAAATTAAAGCAAAATTAAGGGTGCTTCTGAAGAAGCTTTAAAACTTATACTGTAAGGTCTCAATCAGCTGATGTTCAAATTTATTAGCAGCAGGATGGTTCATACTTAAGTTATTAATGATTTACATGATTATATTAATTTAGTAAATCTTTTATGATTATAACTACATTAAAATCATATATTATTCTATCTGAATGAATCAATCAAGAAATCAAGTAGTATTATTGTTATTGTGTACAATGGGGCAGATCTGTAGGACTTCTGCACTATGAACCATTTCTGTAAGAAAAATTTTGATGTGGAAATGGAAGGCTGTTTTGAAGCACGTCATCTGTAACAAACTGAGGAGGAATTTGGCACCAACACTCTGAAAGAGTACATGCTGTGTCATGTACTTGTTTCTATTTTCAAATAAACATTAAAATAACTTAGGACATGGTCAAACAAGGCATATATGATGCTATATTTATAATTTCAGAGATATAGAAGGATTGTGAATTAGGGTCTTCAGAGTTAATGTGAAGGTAGGAGGTTTAGATTGAATGTATTGGAGTTAGAATTAGAATGAGGAATTGAACACAATGCTAGTAAAAGTGCATGAAATTTGTTTTTGTATTCACATGGCAAATGATGATGAATTCAATCATGAGTACTTCGAGATTGGGTGACCTGTAGGTAGGGCTGTGAATTTAGCTCAAATATTAATTTGATTTTTTGCTCGGATTGAAACAAGTAAGTCAAGCTACGAGTCAAAATTTTGAATCGAATTTTATTCGAGCCGACCCCAGCTCTCCTGGAATAGGATAGTTAACAACCCTAGTAATGTTAGAACAGTGAATTTAACGAATTTAGCTCAAAGATTGTCAATTGCTCCAAATTTGAATCGAATTTTGGCTCGGATCAAGATTTGATCGAAATAAATGGGTCGAGCTACAAGCCAAAATTTTGGATCGAACCTTATTCGAACCAACTCCAACTCAGCTCGGAATCGAATTGTTAACAACCCTAGTGATGTTAGGGGTATGACACTACAGAAGACATACAATTTAGCATCATACATAACATCAAATTTTATTTCAATGCAAAATTAGCATCGATTTTGCGTCCATTTTTTCATCGAGCACTATTCACCGTTGAAAAAAATGGATGTTCTTGTAGTGTTGGACTTAGCATTGACTTTTCATCGGCATTATTGATGCTACTAAGTTACTTAATAGCATGAGAAATACTTAATTGCATCAGAGAGTTGGCAAATTTCGACACTAATGCCATAATATACGGCCAAGCTGAGACAGAACTCTCATTCACCCTTATTGCTTTCTTCTCCAATTTTAAACCTGGAATTAGACAAGCCTGGGCTTACCTTTGACATGTGACTAGCTCAAGGGAGCTCTCCAAGCTGCAAAAAGATTATACTGGCCCCCACCATCCCTAGATAGAGCGGTCAAGGTTTGGCACGAGCGCGCCAAACTCGTGGCGCGGGTGTGCCCGTTGCATGCAGTCGGATGCGGGCACACCCCAAATCCACTGCGAAGGCAACACCCTCTCATGTTGCTGGCAAGGACTCAGCACGGGTGTGTCGGAATAAGGCAGGTGCAGGTGCGCCCAAATACTTTTGCAGGTGCATCGTGTTCTCGGGTTCCCGACGCATGACCAACGCAGGATCGGCAAGGGTGCACCCTAAGAGCAAAGGCGCGGGCTTGCTCAAGGAAGCGTGGGTGTGCAGGGTTAAAGAGAGTGCACTGTGTCACGGAACGGGCAAACCGCGCTCTTGTGTTCTTAGCATCGACCTAGCGTGGGTGCACTGAACCAAGGAAGGCACAGATGCACTGGGGATTCAGTATGAGTGCGCTAAAGTCAAAAAGGGCATGTCTAAGGGTGAAAAGCTTCTGGGTATTCTTTATGACATTTCACGAGCCATGAGGTGCTCCAGGGGAGCAGAATATCTTCTCATGTCATCGATATCTGAAAATTGGTGCCAACAGGTTGCCCGGTGAATATGACATCAAAAATTTATGCCAATAGAAATAATGGAGAAAAAAGATTCACGTATTTTACCCCACTTAATGAATTTGTGTGTTTGTAATACATGAGATTTATGTGTTTCGTATGACTGATATCAAAATGTATTAATCTACATATATGTTGCAGGTGAATATTCAAAACTTGAGATCATGAATGTATAACATATTGTATCCATAAATAATAATACTCCCTAATGAGTTCTTGAATAGTGTTGAAGAATTTGTATATATGGCATCACAACTACCTGTTTACCTTTTAAAAGATAAGTTTTAATGCCCCTGTATGAAGCACAAGAATCAAGCGTATCTAATGTCTGATGAAGTGAAGTTGAATCTATAATGTAGGGGATTAAGACCCAATTATTGGTATTGTACTTCCCATTATGGTTTGAACAAGATGTTCAGATTGTTCATGCCGGAACTTCATCAAGTTATGCCCCTCCAACAGAACACGATTATGACATATGAGAAAATGGTTGGTGAAGTAATTAGGTTATCATTTATTTGATTTAACTAATATATTCATGATTTGTAGAAGCACTTAGCAAATCATTAAATGATATAATATATTGATTTATTATCACCAAATAATTAGTAAGCCACATATTGGGTACACGAGATAATGTAATATAAAGTAACTTTTGTAAAATATAAAGTACATGAAAAAAAATGAGAGGAATATGTGGAAGCGATCTACTTTAAATTAACTCCATAACTTTTATTACTGAAATATCATTTGGTTGACCTAACAGGTTATCATGTCATTTATATGGATTATTTACTCATCATTAACCTCTTTAACTTGGCATGCTAAATCACTTTCTTGACCTACTAAAGGAAGGTTTTTTTAAATAAATTTTTTTATCTTTTTATAATGCATTATTTGGACTTAATAGTCACGCTTTAGATTTTTAAAAAGTGATTAATCATTATCAATAGCCCACTAACTTGATGGATTAAATCAATTTTTTAAATATATTAATGGTATTTTTAA